TGGGGCTGTGAGGCTGGGGGCTGTGAGGCTGGGGGCTGTGAGGTTGGGGGCTGTGAGGCTGGGGGCTGTGAGGTTGGGGGCTGTGAGGCTGGGGGCTGTGCAGCTCGGGACTGTGAGGCTGGGGGCTATGCAGTTTGGGGCTGTGTGACTCAGCAGCAGGAGCCCCCCACCAGTTTGGATCTTTTATTATGAATTCCATTTCGAGCCTGGGCAGGCGCCAGCGTGAAAGGCCTCAGCTGCCCCAGACACGCACACCCCCGTCTGCCCTGAAGACTTCAAAATGCATCCTTTCCACAGCTGCAACAGGAGGGGACTGTGGCCAGAGTGATGGCAGCCAATACGGGGTCCCCCCCCAGCCATTCTAATGTCTTTTTCAGGGAAGGTGCTGCCTCTGAATGCAGGTATTTTCAGGTAACCATGGCTACCAGCCCTTGTTAAATGCATGTAATATGTGACTGACTCCTCCCACAGTGAGAGGCTGTAGGCTGGGCTTTGGTTACTTCCATACTATGGTTAGAGAGCAGAATGCCAGCGTGAGAGGCCTCCCTTTTGTTTTGTTTATTTGAAGTAAAAAGAAAGAAAAATCCAATTAGGTTCTTAACAGATAATATACCAAACGTTCATTTTTGCAGATTTTAGATGCACTTATCATTCAATAAGGCAACAATTGGCTTATTGCCTTATTTAAAGATGTGGTCAAACATCTCCTGCTTAAATACAATACAACCCAAAAATACAGTAAAACATTTAAAACAGTAAATGGGTTCACATACTATACATGTGCTTGTGCACACATAATCACTTCATTAAAGGTGCCTGCAAATTCATTTAAATGTGATTAGGCTTCTACTGAGAAAAGATCAAGATTTATTTAATAGCATTTAACAGCACTTACATGGGGAGAGGGGAGGCAGGCGGAGAAGAGGATGACGGAAAGGCAAACTGGCGCGTTGGGCCTGGGTACTCTGCCGAGGAGTCGACGAGATCGGGCATGCCTGGGGAGGTGCCCACTGTCTCGGTGATGACCAGCTCCGGGTCGAGGATGAAGAGTTCATCCTGTGAGATCTCTGTGACGTAGTTCAGGTGTTCCTGGAAATTACCAGTACAGAGGTCACAAACGGAACACACTTACCATTAAACTGTGGATATTTTAACCTCTCGGGCTGCATAATTGCAGACTGAAAACAGGGACCCTGGGCAGGGTAGGGGCTCGGAAGAAGCTGGAGTTATGAGCTTACCTGAGCACGATCTATTCTATAAAATCGATCAGCAGTTGTAGCTACAAGCAGAAAGAAAGACAGCACAATATCAGGCATGAGTCATTGAAACAGTGAACAGCTAATAGCTTGAGCACCATAAACACATTCCTATGGGTATAAAACAATAAGAATAAATGTTCGAGCTCATCCCACAGCTACTGGGCCCATACAGAAACAGGACAGGCTTAGAGAGAGCATGGTGTGAGAACACAACCCAAAAGTCTGAAATCAAGTGTGCCAATGTACATTTCATTTCTTAATTTAATTTCTGCCCACTGAGCTCGGCTGAGTAAATGCATTCCTTCTCTGTCTTAGATGCGAGTTTAAAACCTCAGGGTTGGGCCACTCTGACAGTCCTCACCCAGCTTCCAATGACCTGCAGGCAGCGCCATGTGGTGCAGCTGTAGCGGACAGGAGGAACCGCTAACATTTCAGAGCTGGGATCTGGCAGAGAGAGCCTATTGTCCTGAGTAATGACATTCAGCTTCCGGCCACTAGAGGGACAGCTTCTGAATTACAGAGGGTCCGTATCATAGTCCCGTATCAGAATGTGGCATTAAGCAGAAAAACCCAACTCAAGTCATGTCCTTTATGATGCCCTCCAATGGGTTACCCTGCCCTCGGGGCACATAACAGGATTAGATATAGATTTAAAGATAAATGAACTAATTAAAATCAAATCAGACTCTAGAATTAATTTCTTCTGTGATTCTTCTCTCTTTAAATTTTTTACAACGGTTTATTAGACCTATAAACACTCCCTAGCACTGAGGAACACAGTTTTACTACAGTACACTAGGGACTGGGGAAAGGCTACGCCAGTCAACCTTAACGTAGCAAACCACACTCCACACTGCACTAGGGACTGGGGCTAACTCTAACAGCAACCCCCATGCTCACCTGACCATTAAAAATGGGGGGGGGGGGCACAGATGGATGAAAACAAGCCATACTAGCGCAAGCTTCCCTTACATGCTTAGTCTTACATTAGGGACCGACCTTCCTATTGAGACCATGTCAATCTTTTTGCATGCTCTCTCACAGTCTGCGGTGTGTGTGCAGTTTGCATGCTCTCTCACAGTCTGCGGTTTGTGTGCAGTTTGCATGCTCTCTCATAGTCTGTACTGGTGTCCTCCCCAGCCCAAACACATGTGCATTAGGCAAACTGGTTTCTAATTTACCTTTGCACCTGCATCCCGTCTGAGGTATCCCCTGCTCTGACCCAGGCTTTTTGAAATAGGCCCCAATAGTGATAGTGACAATTTTCTACTTTAACTGACCTTTACTTAAGTGCCATACAAATGCTGTTATGTTGACAAACAGGATTCATGGATTTCATTGGGCAATGAACTAATGAATTATGAGGACAACGAACTAATGAACAATGAAGTAACTTTGGGATCAACAGAATATGACATCAGTGATGCAGTTCATGCAAAAGAGAGACTGAGGCATAAATATCTATTGTAATTCAGTCAGGCCTTTTATAAACAATGCTTACAGTCTAAGAAACACCACTTTGGTGAGAGTTTCTGCGAGGACAGGGTCTTCAGTTTTGTACCATCTCCTTCCTGGGGACAAAAAAAAACACAGGAATTAAATACTCTGCTGCTCGTTTAAGGCCAAAGGCAAAACAAGACCCTGGAAATGCATGAAAAGGAACTCTGCTTTGGATTTCATTGGAAAATCCAAAGCTTTTGTTGAAGGACACCCAAGGTAGATCTTCAGTTTGCTGTGTTCCACTGGCTGAATTTAAATCTTATTTTCTCACTCCATTATCATGACCTCTATTGCTTTATACAGCAATGCTGCATCCACTGATGAAAAACTTTTATGGTGATAATTTAGCAAGTTTATGTAAAGCTGTCAACAGAAACCAGAACCTTCAGAGCACAATAATCTTAGTCTGAGCACATCTGTACTACCAGACATATCTGAACAAGGACAGATACATGTGGTAGAAGGCAGTGCTGTTTCACTCTCCCTTCTCATTCAGTAGTTTCCACCAGCACTGAAAGGACAATGAAATAAGGGCTCCCACAAGAAGCACCACTCCTGGCGGGGCAGGACGCCACAGTCTGACATCGAACACGGCAGCTATACACAGCAAAGTCACCACACATGCACTGTGACACCACAGGGAACAGCCATGCCTGACAGGTTCAGACAGGACACGGTCCAATTGCGCACATACACACGTACGGCATGCTGACATGTGCCGTGTGATCGGGAGACTTGGCACTTAGCAAGGAATTGGAACTCTTTGGGCATTTTTCCACTGCACCAGGTACCGTACTTTTGGTACATCAAGAAACATACAGGATATTATATATAGGACATTATAGCGCAGGGGGTTTAAGCTCGCTAGAACATTTTTACTCTGTCATAGAAATAAATCCTGCAATTTTAATTATTATTCCTTTTATAGATTATCTAAGGTAGTGTAATGCTGGGCAGATCGAGGCATCGCGCGAGCAACAAAGGACGAGGAGACTTGCTTGTCGGAATAGAACACGCTCTTCGTTATAGTCTTCATTATAGGACTATAATGGGCACCTAACAAGCACAAATCCCAAATATAACAGCGGAAACACAAGGTGGTCAGACGCCAAACTGTAAGGTAAACACGCGGTGGGGAATTTATACAACCTAAAAACACACAAGGATCGGGAAACATACATGCCACAAAATTTAAAAATACTTTTTAAATTTCTTGTCATGCCATCCTGTTCTTCCGACCAGATCTCAATTAATTTCTTTTTACTCCGTTTATCGTTTTCTTAGTTCGTAACTTTTTTTAAGATTGCAATTGTATTGTGGTCAAAGACAGTCAACCAAATCGACAAAGAAAGCGTTTCAAGACTCACCCCCCCAAACTACCAAAGTAGTACCCCAGCTGGTTTGGCACTTTTGGTACTGGAACTTCTGGTACTGGTAGCCCAACCAGATAGATAATGGAAAAGGGAAAGTACCAAAAGTACCGTATCAAAAGTACAATACTTGGTGCGGTGAAAAAATGCCCTTTATGTATGCGGCTGCTTGATAAAGGATGTGACGGGAACATGAAGAGATTATCAGCTATAAAAGAGATTATGGAAGCTATAATCCAAGTACATCTCAGCGTCCATCTGATTTTCCTAACGTAAGCAATCTGCTGTCAGTGCTGGCATGTGCAAAATAATTTACAGCTTCAACTTACAGTGCAGATGTTAGACTGCACGGGACGTGTCTCACTGAGCTCATGTCACATCAGATTGCTAGACATTATACTGTTTCTTCACAACTGCTGGTGCTGCCCTATGCTTTCAGCATCTGCCTGGGATGACCTGCTGCCCTTCGCTTTCCCTGGAATCAGCCTGGTGTGGGCATGAGGTGTGTTTTCTTCCAGACAGTGACACAAGCTCCACCAAGGCCTTCACAAACCTGCAACGCCAGCCGCTGGAAAGACGGGTGAACCGATACAATGTCCTGGGGGAAACACCACATTATAAAGTCATTTGAGCGAGTGGTGGAGTTAAACGCAGATGGCTGTTTGCTGGCAGGGGTGATGGCTGAGATTGGCGGCAATGACAGTGAGTCAGTGGGCAGGGATGCTTGGAAACTCAAAACTATTGTGCAGTGGCAGAAGGAACAGTAATATTCAGACATACAAGTGATCATTATTATATCTATCATTATCATCAAAGGGAGGAGCAGTGGAGGTTTTCATTGAAATTAACATGGATAAAATCATTAGTTGAGGGCACATCTGAGCCTTTAATCACATACAAATTTCATGCACCATTTAATGCATTTTTTTACAGTCTCATTAGAAGAGTAGAGGGACACAAAATAGGAGAACATCTGTGAACATCTTACAGCTCCCCATGCACAACTGAAGACACCTCCCCCTTTCTGTGGCTGTCCCTTGAACCTGGCAACGTGTCAGGCGGGCGACAACATGGTCTGGTTGCACGCTTTCTCAGAATGATGCAACACTCCTCAGCCAGACTCACCTCCTGCAGCCTCTCGATGTGCAAGCGGCATGTTTCCAGGTCACTGTCCCCAGGGATGACAATCAGCCCCAGGGGGATTGCTGTCAGACAGAGAGAAGAATAAGAAGTAAATTCCGATGCGGAGGGAGTAAAATAGACTGGAAAAGGGATTCCCATAAACACCTTTACACTTACTGTATATAGCTCATACTTCTGGACAGTTAACATTGAACAATTGAGCAGGGCTGGACAGTATCTAGCCTAGCAGTTAGAAGCAGATGAACGGATTGAGACACCTTTAAATGCACATTTAGAAAGAATTAAGCTTTCAGGATAAAAAGAAGATTGAAACACAGACAGAAGATTATATTTCTCGGCTCAAAGCGCCCATTTGAATCAGCCTCTGTGTTATCCAAATAAAAAGGTGACAGTTAGAAAAGATTCACTCACTTTGGAAAGAACTCACAACCAGTGATGAACTTCACATTAGTCACCTGAGCTTGAGATTTCTACAGTATACTCACTACTGCGGTCATTTTATTATTGCTATAAAAGCCGAGAGGTGGGTGAGGAGGTACAGATACGCTTATTTTCCAAGGCAGATGTGGTCATCAAAATATGCACCGTTGCCAAGCAATGCCAAAAACAAGCAGCACCAAAATTAATTCAGGTTTCTCCTTTGCTGCTCTACCTAAAAACGTTACACTCTGATGTTATGGTCTTAAAAACCGAGACCCACCCAGAAAGCAAGAAGTGAGATGGCAGGAAACAAGGTCTCTCATTTTTTTGAGAAGATCCAAAAGGAATTCCCCTGCTCACCTATCTGACTACGACTTCACAAAAACCTGCGCATGCACACTTGCTTGTGCTGACACCTAGTGTTAAGTTCTCCCTTGGCTGCACTTTAACTTCAAACATGAAAGCAGTTTAAGATCATGCTTTCCAGTTGCATGGGTACACAAGGATTAAGCAAAATCCATCACTTATCTTTGTACGGGTGGTAGGATGACAGGAACCCGGTGCCCATCCTGGGCAGCACAGGGCACATGGCCAAGGTAAGCCCTGGATGGGTGGACTGAGCAAAATCTTTGCACTTAATTAGTCTGCATATTTTCCTGCACTTCTTCCAGTAAAAAAGGTGAACTAAGGCTTTAAGAGAGGATTACATATACATTGAAACATGTTACCAGTCCTGTGGTTACAGGAATTTTAGTCCTCCTACAGCTTTCAGAAAACTGCTAGACACTCAAAAATGACTGAGACGTTGTGCTGTCAAATAAGTAAGTTCCAGAAAATTTAGTTTTACAACATGGCCTAGGACAACATTTGGGTCTGTTTAAGGGGTGGTAGTTATTTATGAGTGAATACCGAGGGCAACAAGCTTCCAAGTCCTAGCCGAATGCAATCTTCTTTATGTGGAAAAATGCTAATGTGTTAAAAAGGGTAGAAGACAAAACAACCCAAAATTCTGGAATGATCACAATCCAGATTTAGTTTGTTGCTATATGACTTTCAGTCCATCATTAGCATATAGCTATATGATTCACAGTCCAACTTTAGCATTTTGCTGTAAGATTCATTATCAGATGTTTGCATATCGCTGTGACATACAATCAAAATTTAGCATATAGCCATATGATTCACAGTGCAGTGTTGGTAGCAATGCAGATGCTTTACTGTTCTGTTGAGGCAAAGATGGAGGAGAAGCTCTCCATTCACCAGTCAGTCAATGTTCTTACCCTAACCTATGGTCATGAGCTCTGGGTAATGACCGAAAGAATGAGATTGCGCATACAAGCGGCAGAAATGAGTTTCTTCCACCGAGTGTCTGGGCTCAGCCTTAAAGATAGGGTGAGGAGTTCAGACATTCAGGAAGGGCTCAAAGTAGAGCCGCTGCTCTTCTGCATCGAAAGGAGCCAGTTGAGGTTGTTCAGGCATCTAACTAGGATGCCTCCTGGATGACTTCCAGGGAAGGTGCTTGAGGCATGTCCAACCGGGAGGAGGCCCTGGGACAGACCCAGGGCACGCTGGCCTGGGAACGCCTTGGTATTCCCCTGGTGGAGGTGGAGGTGGCTGATGAGAGGGTTGGCTGAGCATCACTGCTTAGACTGCTGCTCCCACGATCCAACCCCGGATAAGCAGCAACTTTAATGCCCTTTTTCACTGCCTAGCCTTTTATGAAACCAAACAATTGTCACTCCAGTAAAACCAACTGACAGCTGGACAAAAGACATGAAGAGACCATAAACTAACAGAGTATGTCAGAAGATTAGGATCTAAACAGAAATATCAACCTGTCTACCTGTCTATGTACTTCATATTCAGGTGCTACAATGCAAAGGGCTTAGAGGGTGGATTGGGAGGGTGGGACTTGGGGCAGGGCTGAGGGGCAGGGTTGAGGGGCAGGGTTGAGGGGCAGGGCTGAGGGGCAGGGCTGAGGGGCAGGGCTGAGGGGCAGGGTTGGGTGAGCGTACTCACAGGCTTCTTTCAGCTTCTCCTTGTCGTAATGCAGGGCCTCATAGTCGTGCATGCTGATGCGATTGACACGGATGCGGAGCCTCTCCGGAATGGGCTGCTGACTGTGGAGACAGGAGGAGCAGCTGGTGTGATACTGCAGGCTGATGAGTCCCAAAATAGAGGGTTTACAACGACATTTCTAACTGGTCTGACTTCCCAACTCTTACAGATACTAACATTGCATAGAGTAAATTCTGATATCTACCAGACATCACCAGACATCATCATGTCCATTGTTTGGTTATCTGTTTGACTAAATCAGAGTAGAGGGGTTCTGGATCAGATTAACGTCAGCTAGCATTTAAAACCTTCAGCCAACTCACTGTATCTTGGTAATGGATTATCTGGAAATTTTTATCATCGCCGCAAAACTAAAATTATCTGCCTGAACTGTTCCACGTGGAAAAGAGATTGACGTATGGTTGCATTCTTTACCTCATTTACATTTGGATTAAATTCAGTTGTCATGATGGTCACTGTATATCGTTGCAAACTAAGTGCATAAAAAGTACATTTTGCGAAGTTCTGTGTTGTCCATCAGTTTCCATTACTTCAGCAGAACTTCAATAGATTCGCAACATATAAAAACTGCTTGATGGGTTATCTGAAGCCTTAAAGCTAAATCAACAGCCAGTGAACAAAATGTCTGTCAGTAACAAGGAACACAGGAATCGACAGCCAAATCAATGTGCTGGAAAGATAACGAAAGACAGATGGCGAGCTCTAACAGTGAACCATTTTCTGGGGGTGGTGGATACAGATACAAATCCGAAGAGAAAACACAAAATTTACACTTAAATTTCTTTTCAGGTTTTGGTCTGTACATACGTAAAATGATCTTTGCATAATTTTGTACACAAAAACACAACACAAGGGACGTTACCATAAACATGACAACAGGCTGTCAATGTATGTGCTGTGTTGCCTGCAGCCTGTTTTCTGCCCGTCTCCCCACAGATAGGGCTGGAACGCTGCTCTCTCTGATTTATACGGGTACCTTCACACCAGTACCAATCACTTACACTATGTTTATGTAAAATTAGTGTCTCTCCCAGCTCATTCATTTTGCATGATTTTCTCCACTTGACTTGCACTCTAATAACTACCATCAGTTCAGCCCACCAAAGATGTGTAGCCTAAAGATGATGGAGTAGACGTCTACACCCCCCATACATGGAGTAACAGCTTTCTGAGCCGATAACACCATTTTCCTTCAGAATCTATAATTGTCTAGAATTACAATGCAGTGTTCTATATAAAAAAATGGGACATCATAATTACTATGATTATCACGGTGATTCTGAAACAAAAAAGTCTCTGTTTGGGTAATTAGTTTTAACTTTAATTAACTTAATTAATTAAAAAGGAGAAGTGGAAGTGGAAGATTTAACTAGAATATCGCCAAGGATGGAACCTGATATTAAAATACATCATTTAACATGTAGTACTTTAGTAAAAATAATCACTTACTAAAACAGCTAAACAAATGTCTGTGAGCCACTTTGCACAGTAATGAAATTTCTGTATGACACCAGTGACCTCGTAGTCACAGTACTTCACCAGTGGGAGGCGCTGACACGCACTCATTGAGTAGGGGAATGGAGGTCCTCCTTTTGGTTTTCTGCACCATGTTAGCCTGGTTCCTCAGTGAGATGTGGATGATGGAGGGGGCCAGTTTGCAGGGCTCCCCGTCCACCTGCATGGGGATCGGCTTGTAGGTGGTGAGGGTCACCTCCCGGCACTGGTTCAGGCGCTCACCGTGCCCCCCCACCTGAAGCGTCGCCTATAGCAACACAAGCAGAGGGCTCAGCTTGGACTGACTGAGTGTTCCACAGAAAAAAACAGACGGAAAGCCAAAAACATCAAAACATTCACATCACGGAGTACAGGGAGAGAAATGCTCATTAAACCGGAAAGTTTTTAAGTCAGATTTACAAGTAGAAAGTGTACAGTGTGACACTTGGGAAATACAAGGCCTTTGCATACCAGAGAGGTCATGGTGAATCCGATGACTTCAATGCAGCCGTCGTCGTGCCTCTGAGGCTCAAAGTCATGGTGCTCGCTGGGGTTCCCCCACGGCATGGTGCCTGCGCAGTACCTAACATGGGGCGGGGGCGGGGGGGGGGCAACATCCACTGGTGATCAGCCTGAGTCTGCGATTTCACAACACCGGAGCCTGTTTCTGCTCACTAGCCTGCCCAGTGCATTTGGACAGGACCAGATTAAATCAGCCCAAGCATAATGGCAGGAAACCAAATCACTGTACATGCAAAACACAAGGAAATATATTGATTTAGGGGGACTTAGCTTGTTTAGGTAGAAGTTAGGGATTGAAAATACGTTAAGCCACCTTTAGTTAGTGAGGAGCTTCAAGAGAAATGAAGCCAGGAAGCGCTATCATATCATATACGACACTCAGTTTTTCTGCTGCCTCTAATAACCGGCCTTCATTGAAATAGATGGAGTTGCGAATGCCTGCTCTGGCTTTCACAGACTTGGGATTTTTCCCTGTTCGGCGAAACCCAGGGAGGTCATACCTGGGAATGTTGAGAAACAAGAGGCACTGCAGTTTCAGCTCTTGGACCTTGGAGGTCAGATCCGTGCCGTCGCACTAATGCGGTAGACAAAAAGAACAGATGCTTTAGGCCCCAGAGAGGCACTTGGCTCTGAGGGGCCTCTTCCAGTTAGGAAGATCACCACCTCCACAGCAAAACCAAGTCACCCTGTATTCATGGTCACAAACCCCTGATTGGGAAGTATTGGTAGTTCTTCTGTGTCAAAGTCTGCTTACAGTATCCTTTTATTGAGCCCTTTATCTTTACATTAACACACAGCCTACGATCCTAAGCCAGGATCTTCTACTCACCACAACTTTGATGTGTTTCGCCAGGTCTTTAGAGCTGCCCATTAAGAAATCCGAGAAGGCCGTCTAGAGATCAAAGGCAAAGTGCAAGGTTAACCGTAAATGTCCCATTTCCTGAGAGAGGAAACACATTCATGTTTGTTATTCAATTAGCAGCTCGGCTCACCCCTGCATAGAACATCTTGTTCCGAAATCGGCTGTTGAATTTCTCTGGGTTGGCCTCTGTGTATACAGGTAGAGATAATCGGTCAAGATCATGTCGCAAGCTTTGATTTTATTTCAATATGACCACAGTGTGCAGCAAGGGCAGATGAAGGCCTGAGGTGACAGGGGCCTGAGACAACAAGGATGCAGATCAGCAGGCAATCAAGTATATTATGCAGATTTCAGCATATCAACAACAATACATCATAATACCCAAAAGCTACCATTTTAGTAGACTTCAGTATTCCAGAGGACACCTCACTGCACAAACCTCTCGACTCATGGAACTCCAGGGTGACGTGTGCATCAAAACCAAGGCTGAAGTAGTTATTGAAGACATCAAGCGGAAGCTAGGGCATGAGCACAGAGACAGAAAGGTTAAATAAGGGGTGAATGACTAGGCAGCACAAATCATTTCACAGCCTCTTCACATGGAAGAGCACCTAACCAGGCTTTGAAACTCCACACGGACAGTAATTTTATCATTAAATGTACAGATTAATTCATGCCAACTTACGTTCAAATGGCAGCTGCTTATAGACTGAATGGTGTGGCCTGGCTGTATTTCCTAATAAAAACTAAAACCCCCTTTTAATCATAAAATGATCCCACATCTCTCCACCAGGTAGTGACAGTGAGTGATTAGTTGTTTGGATGGGGGTCGCTGCAGGTCAAGGCCTGTCAGGGAGCCTCATGCCTATGGTTGCCTGTCCGTGTCAGATGGTGCCATTCACTGCTGCTGGCGCTCTGCCACCCTTCCCAACACACAGGGCCACGTCTTTTGGGTTCAAGGGAAAATAGGTCAGGAGCTGAAAGTGTGCTGCATCAAGGCCCGCCTGTGTGACAGTGCTACACTTCCGTGCCGTCACCCCGCGGAGAGAGCATGCCGCATGACTGCTGAGTGCCCCGGCATCCTGCAATCCGCTTGTAGCCCCCTGATAAGGCTTATCAGCAAGTCCAGATATCAAGGCTCTCTCTTCCCCTGACAGTCATTGTCGGAAATTTATGGAGTTTCATTTCAGAGACACTGATTCAGAATGTTTGAACTGTCACAGGGTCGGCAGATGCAAGACTGCTGCAGCATATGACAGTATTTACGTGTATGAAGACATAATCAGGGAGACAGACTGCTTTTGGAGAGAGATACAAGAAATCCCCCTCCCTCAGAGTGGGAGACCAACCCACCTTGTCTGTCTGCTGCTCATCCTTCTCCTCCTGGCTGGCTTCCAGGTTGGGCTCCACGATGAGGTTCCATCGATCCAGCTGGACAATGTTCCCATCCTCCACATGCGACAGGATTTTAGACACAGGCTCATCAGTGTACCCCTGTGATAAAAGTTTCCAGTGAACAGCCCCTTCAGAGTCTATACAGAGACATTCTGTCAAAAGGCCAGCTCATGCTGCGAAGTGGTTGACAAGAGCAATTCTCCCCAGCATCAGGTTTCTGAAATACAGCTACTATGTGATCAGGTCTTGTTTAATGTCCAAATGGGAGCCCTTGTGCAGTGGCCATTGCCCAGGAAGGAGGCCACACTACTCACACCGCCCCAGTTGAGCGTCCTGGCCAGGTCATTACCGGTCCCTAAGGGCAGCACTGCAACAGCTGGCTGGGGATTCAACTGAAGCTGATCCAGCGTGGATAAGATCCACCCAACCTGCAGGCAAAAGGGCTGCCATGTAACGTTTCACACAGCTCATCCATCAGCATCATTCACTCCAAAGGAGAGACCCCATGTCAGTACAAGCAGCCTTTCCAGGAGGTGCCCAGGGTGTATTAACGAAAAACTCAGAGCAAGAAAAAAAACAGCGTTTGCTAGGGGGAGAATCAGGCATGACTGTATTATTTGTACAGTATATTAAGTTATGAAACCAAATAACTCCCTGGCTGTACAAACAGCACAAGCAGTCAAGATTAGGAAGAGGCTGGCAGGCAGGCGCCCAATGTTAGCAATTTTGGTAGCGAGCGCCTGACAGAATGGCCACATCTACACTGCTCCTGCTGCCTGCATGAGCTCCCAGGAGTCAGCTTACCGCCTGAATCTGGGGAAAAAAAAACTATTTGCAGAGCTTCGGGTTCTCGGTCGGTGAGAAGAGAGAAACCTTCAAAAGTGGCCATGCTTACCGTTCCGTCGCCCCCGCAGGCCAGGATGCGCAGGTTGTGCACCCGACGATATAGCTCCAGGCTGCAAATGGGGAGAGAGCCTCTAACAACGGCTTGATATCATGCTCAATGCTAACAAAACGTTACTTTGCCTTCCAAGAGGGGTATTCCCCCTTAATGACTTCACAAGGAATGTAATATAACATATGGAGAAAGTCAGGGTTTCTTACTACCTGGTGGCAAAATGGGGGCTCAGTGGGTTGCTTGTGGTTGGAGGGATGTGAGGTTGAATCCTCACTGCCTCTATGTGTGTCTTAACATTTCTGACATTGATGTGAAACTGGCATATTTGAATTGCCCATAGTGTGCATGTATGTGTGCCCTGCAATGGGCTGGCACTCTATCCAGACTGGCCCCAGTCCATGCATGTGTTCTGATGGATGTTTTTTCAGATGAATCAGTTTAATCCACACCACCACAGGAGGAGAGATCACAGCGTGATGATCTCATGACAGTAAAATGCACAAGCGTTTGCACAGGCATAGTAACCATGCGTGAAATAATGAGGCACTAGCTACTTGTTTCAGCTTTGTTTGGCTGAATCAGATGGGTTATCCACCTCTAAACCTAAGAAATGTGACAGATGGAAACAATAGTGCAGAAGTTATTCTCTTAAAACAAGTCTACTGTGATTAAACAACCCACTGGAGTTTTTGATTGTTTCTAAAATGTCAATGTGATAGCCAACTGACTGTTTCCCATTAGGTAAGCAGCACCAAACCCCAGGTGGGCCCCAGTCCATCACAGGGACCTCATACAGAAACCCAGCCTCATGTATTTCACACTGTGTAAGGCAGCGTAAAGGAGAACATGCACAAGACGGTGTGCCAAGAGAGCCACACTGATGACCCCCTGGATGCCAAGCAAGGGCCAGCCAAGACATCCAGTGGAAATCATAACCTTACCTTCAAGAAAATCTTGGAAATTATCATTAAAATTAAGCCATGACTGGTTTAAATATAATTTTTAATATAAATTTAATATAAATGCTACAGAATAGTTACCTCAGGGTAACCGGTCAAAAATGAGGTAAAAGTGTCATGGATTTACCCATCTTTAGGTCCTCCCTGGCTCAGGTCAAAAACTTGCCGGGGGTTGAGATACCACATGAAGGACTGAATTATTTTAGCTCCCTGCAATGAGAAAGCGAGTTCAGAAATCAACAGAGCTCCTGTGTCACCATGGAAGCAGCCCCTGGCAATTCAGTGGTTTAAATTACATTTGACTTCTGTTTAAACAAAATGGAAACTCAGAATTTGGGAAACATTCTCTTCCTGTCAGGTTTCAAACTCAAGGAAACTGTTCAACAATATACAGTACCAATTTTTATTAACAGCATGTACCAATAACATTCCAAGTTCACACAGCTCCACCATATGCAATATTTATATACAGTATACGTATAAAGAAAATCATGAACAGCTGCATTGTTCAGTGAATACAGTGCAAAACCAAATAAATTCTAATCATACATGTCTTACCACTGTGGGGACACAGAGCAGTCAGCTTTGAAATGTTCATTAAATTAGCATTGGACTAGCAGTGGAGATTTTTCCTTCTGTTCTAATCAATAGTTAATCCTCAGTCCCCTGTCTGCTTCTGAATCTGCTCGATAAATCCAAGTATTTTGCAGCACTGGAGGCCAGACTGACATTCTACTTTACAGGATTATGCTAGAGACCGAATGCAATCACAGATGCCAAACTGGCAGGGTATATTTCTGCAAATCTCTCGCTAAGGCTAAATCTTTGACTGAATCAAGCAAAAACATTCAGCTTTTGGCATTATCCAGGTCCTCTGACACATTGAGTCATTGTGGGCTTACCTGATTTCCTCCACTCTTTGGGTTGACAAACACAAGCAAAGGTTTCATAAGCTGCGAAGGGATAGGCCTCACGATGAAAGGCTTCCACCGCGTCTCCTTTAGGGGTGCAGAGGGGAAGTGTCAGTGTTACAACACAGGTGGCTCATATTGAGTGAACACTGACACTACTTCAAATCCCATAGTGAGTGCTTACTGTTATTGTTACTATTCCTATAGTGAGGGCACACTGATGCTAAGTCACAGGTATTCCTATAGTGAGGGCACATTGATGCTAAGTCACAGGTATTCCTATAGTGATGGCTATGACCTATGCCACACCTGGTGCAAATGACCTGGTCTCAGTCGTTTTTAAAACTAACTATAGCTTTATCTGCAACAGGCAGAAGATAACACAGCAGCTGTGACTTTCCAGTAATGCCAGTGAGGCACTCTGCCGTGCGAATGTGAAGATTTAAAAAAGCCACCATGTTCTAATGCTTTGCATGAAGGATTTTTTCACAGAGACTATTAGGGTACATATATTAATGACCCCCGAAACACACCTCTGCACCCTTCTTGCTGGACTTGCGCTTGAATGAGGTCCGTTTCTTCTTCTTGCTTGACTTTAGTGAGCTCTAAAAAAGGAATCAAGATCAGTTGGATCTGTAATGACTTACACAGACCTGATAAAGAAAATCAGCTGAGAACATGCATCAAGTTAATTTATCTTTCCAACAATGTTTGCTTGCTTTAAATGAGAAATTGTACCAAATGCTACTTTTCTCTCACAAAAGTTATTTTGATGTTCTTGTATACAATTCAGTAAGGTAAGGCGAGCTCAGATTGTGTATGTATGCATCTACTGCCCTCTGCTGGTTAGTTGAGCACATTACTGCAATCAGGGTCTGCGGTCAGTGTCACAAAAAACGGTCTGGAAGGCCTGTAGGTACCTGAGGCCTGCGGACATGAATTATCCAGGTGGGGGGCACGATGACAGCGGCATGAGCCCCCAGAGAGCATGTCTCCTCTATCTGCTGCAGCATGAAGCATGTGACCTTGTTGTGATACTGTGTGGAGGGAGTAGACTCAAATGTGATGTAAGCAAGATCTTCCGGTCCCCAAACTGTCATTACATTCAGCCAGACATGCCACCAGAATACTATGGAACGTACTGTAAAATTCACCATATCCTCATTATTATTAATAGTACTGTTATGTCATTGCTAATTACTTTATCCATAGTGATTTACAATTTTTTTATATATATTATTTTTCTGGATATATTAGCCACAAACCCCCCATTTATCAGCCTCTATCTGCTAGGGGTCCATCCCCCTAACCATGGTTCCACCTGCTGCCCTTGTGAGGTTCACCCAGCTCACTTACTGCCTGTTTGCACCACGAACAGCTGATGGCCACAATTTCTTTACTGTGGAAAGCAAATTTCTGCTGGAAGCCCTAGAAAAAGAGGAATATCACATCACCTTCAGTAAGCTGAGTGAGACACGTGTACTGCAATGGCAGCGTAGCCCTGGCAACAGGTATGGCTGTACCGCTGGCAGTTAAACACAGTGTACCTGCCCTAGGGTCAGGCACAGCTGTGCCGCAGGCCATTTTAAGCAGTTTACCTGCCCTGGGACCAGTCACGGCTGTGCCATGGGCCGTTAAACGCAGTTTACCTGCCCTGGGGTCAGGCACAGCTGTGCCGCCGGCCATTTTAAGCAGTTTACCTGCCCTGGGACCAGTCACGGCTGTGCCATGGGCCGTTAAAGGCAGTTTACCTGCCCTGGGACCAGTCATTGCTGTGCCACGGGCCGTTAAACGCAGTTTACCTGCCCTGGGACCAGTCATTGCTGTGCCACGGGCCGTTAAACGCAGTTTACCTGCCCTGGGACCAGTCACGGCTGTGCCATGGGGCGTTAAACGCAGTTTACCTGCCCTGGGACCAGTCACGGCTGNCGTTAAACGCAGTTTACCTGCCCTGGGACCAGTCACGGCTGTGCCATGGGGCGTTAAACGCAGTTTACCTGCCCTGGGACCAGTCACGGCTGAGCCGCTGCTCGTTAAAGCAGTTTACCTTTCCACATTGTTTACACTTGCCCTCCTGACGCCTCCTGTGGACCCAGTGGTGCCGGACAACAGTGGGCTGAAATGCACACAGTAACATCAGTAAGTCACACTGGGTCATTCAGACACGACAAATGCTTTCTGTTCCCATCATGCAGAGATATGTGCAGTATGGTAACCTACAGCTGTCACATTTCCTGCATATATTTACCTAGGATATTTACCCATTCCCTTCACAGTCTAATTCCTTACATAGGTAATGTAATTCCTTACATAGGTAAGTATTATAATCTGTAATTTCAGACCCTGAAAAGACCTGACTCTTTCCTGAAATAGGAAGTGAGAGAAAAAGCAGGACAGATGTATAGATGGAAAATAATGAAGCAAAAGCTGACAGGAAGAAAATTAATTGATCAGGAGCCTAAAACACAATTCATTTCCTGTTTGTCCGGATGCCAAAATGGACTCCAGAGTTTGCTCTGGAGGTGGGGATGTGGTACCTGTTCTGGACCTTGCACGTGGTCACCAATGAAAACACAAAATAAAAAGAGAGGATGTGAAACAAAAAGCCAAACAGAGGCAATACAAATGATAGTGGCAGAGCTGGAAGAACAAAATGCAAAGAGTTTGTGCTGTAATGGAAACTGCAGAGACTCGCTCTTCATTTCCAGAAAAGTGAAAAGTATACTATTAGCAGATAAACTGTACAAAAACTCTCACTAGAATTAATTTTGTTCAAACTGTTAATAGACGTGGATGGAAGGATAGATTCCTTGAAATGTATAAAATGAGTTTTTACCTCCCGTATATTTCTTGATCCCGATTCTCTAAATGACGGTTTACACCTGAAATTTATCTGCAGTGGGGATAAAAACAAAAACAATTACTTTCATTAATGAAGACTGCTGCCCACACCTTCTCTAGCAGCTGTGCAGAGTGAGAGCCCCACCCCCCACAGCACCCACCTTCTCCAGCTGCTCGATGCAAATCGTGTGTACCACTATCTTGCAAGCAGCGCATTTCTTCCGAGGTACTGACTTTTGCTGTGGTGTGGTGAGACAAAATAAGTTTGCTGGGAATACAGGTAGTTTCCTTAACCTGAGGGTTCTCTTGAAACCATCAAAATTAAAGACAAAACTCTGCCTTGGACAGCGGATTCATCTTGGCAGTCTTCAGCTCTAAAGCTGGGTGAATTAACATTGCTTTTACTTAATCATGAACAGATGGGCTGTTTTCAAGAACTAAACACTAGAGGGCGCTGTACAACTAAGAGTGTGACATGAAATTTTTGTCCAGTTCATATACATTTTACTCAGTACAGTAAATGGATCTGAGGCCAAACAATACCAAGACAGAAGGCCATTATTTCATTACAGTTTTTGTATTCAGATTATTATTAAAACAGTCATTATTTTTTTTTTTAAAAAAGCAAAAATGTCTTTGGAGTGTAACCCAAAAATTACAAAGCACACACAGGGCATGGACACACTGCAGCCTCACTGCACACAGATCTCACTCAGCACACATGCACAGCCAGCTCCCGAGCTCTGCCGCCCCAAACAGGGGTTTCTCTGTCAGATTAGAGAGACAAGGAAGAGGGAGCTCACCATCGTTCGAGCGATGCAGTGCTGCTCTCCAACATAGCAGAAGTCCCCAGAGACATTGGTCTCAAACCAGATGTGCTCTCCGTAAACAGCATTTTCCTAATGGGGGGGGGGGCAGGGACAGAAGAGGAAGATTGGCATGGCAGACGGGAGAAAGGGAGGGTTATCCGTGGATCACATAAGGAGACGGGGGGGAGTGTACGAAGAGCAAGCCCTCTGTGGTTATCGCCTCACAAACTCACTAATGGTGTAAATGGCCTCGCTGGCTTTGTCAGAGGAGAGAAAAGGGCCTTCAGCTGGTGAGAGAGAACAGCCTCCAGACAGACACTGTTACTATTACTGCACTCTGATAAATAAACCACTCCAACTTTAAGAAACACTCTGACATTCCACCGAAAAATGTTTATGTGGGCATCATATAAGAAGTATAAGTAAATATTCTGAGGACCAGTTAAAAGCAGGTGAGCAAAAAGTCTAAAAATGCAGCTTTTATAAGAAAAGTGCTTATTTTCAACCACTTTATGAAACAGTGAACATCTTTCCATCCAGATGGATGCAAAACCATCACAATTCAATGCTGGCCATCCAATTTAAAAGGGGTCTCTTTCATCGGCAATCATTTTTAACCCAATGGTATAAGATAAGGACTTAATAGGAAGCTTTTCTTAGAGGAACTTAAGTAACCCAGAGAGCATGTTTATCTAAATGTCATCGTTTACAAGCGCTGTTTCATTCTCATGACTCACGTTTAACCTTAAAACCTTCCCTTTCATGTGCATGTAATATTCTAAACAATTAAAAGTCAAATAACCACATACCCCCCGCCCCACACCCACACTCACACTCCAGTCCACGGTGCTGCGTATCTCGTGCTCACGGTCGCCTCTCAGCACAGTGGAAGCGCAGGGCTGGGCATTTAGATGCTGAAGGCCTGCCTTGGCGATGGCTTTTCTGTAAGGACACAGAAGTACAGACTGCACTTTACCTGCATTGGGCTCAGGCACTGTAGTCACACACCCGCATCACACTGGATTCCTGCTCCCCAAACCCTGTCGTAGTTCTAATTCTCTCACAGTGGAGCCACATTATCAGCCCTTTACTTAGTTTATTGCTTGTGTAAATCTCAAGACTGACTAGGACTCACTGATGCCTACAATAATGTTTAATTACAATTACTCAAAAGGCTGTAGTCTACATTAAGTCTTTACTGCTCTGTAGAAAGCACACTATACCATTCAAAGGATTGGGGAGTCACTTAGAAATTTCATTTTTTTTGCCCAATAATTTTCCTTCATTTTTTGCCCAATAAGATAACATCAGATTCATCATTGCAAGTGCATTGTGTCTAGTCATTGTTAATGTTGTAAATACCTATCATAACTGGAAACGGCTGTTTTTTAATGGAATATCTACATAGGTGTACAGAGGCCCATTATCAGCAACAATTAGTCCTGTTTTCCAGTGGAATTTTTGTGTTTGCTAATGCAAGTTTATCATTTTAAAAGGTTAACTGATCATTAGAAAAGCCTTTTGCAATTATGGTAGCACAAATGAGAATTGCTGTGCTGATTAAAGAAGCAATAAAACTGGTCTTCTTCGAAGTAGTTGAGTATCTGGAGCATCAGCAACTGTGGGTTTGATTACAAGCTCAAAATGGTCAAAAACAAATAACTGTCTTCTGAAACTCATCAATATATAAATGAAGGCTATTCCATATGAGAAATCGGCAGGAAGCTGAAGATCTTGTACAATGCTGTGTAGTACTGCCTTCATAGAGCAGCACAGCACAATAGAAAGAGGAGAGGGAGGCCCCAGTGCACAACTGGGTGAGAGGATAAATATATTAGAGTGTGTAGTTTGAGAAACAGACGCCTCATAGGTCTTCAACTGGCAGCTTCATTAAATAGTATAGAATGGTACATAAGAAGTGCTCATTAAGCCAATCCAACTTGTGGGAGATGCTTCAGGAAGCACAGGGTGAAATCTCATTAGATTACCCCAACAAACTGACATCTAGAATGCCCAAGGTCTACAAGCCTGTAATTGCTGCAAATGGAGGGCTTCTTGATGAAAGCAAAGTTTGAAGAACACAATTATTGTTTTAATTTAAAAAATGATTGTCAATCTAACTTTGTCAAGGACTATTTCCAATTTATTTTGCTATAATTCCTATTGAAACTCTTTTCATGTATGTTTTCATAAAAAACAAGGATATTTCTAAGTGACCCCAAACTTTTAAACGGTAGTGTAACTGTTATTATTATTAATATTAGAGACTTAAAGCTGACATGGGGGGCCTGGAATACCTCTGTAACACATGCCACACTGGATGGCTAAAACAGACAGTGGCCAGCACTGACGAGGTCTCATCTACTGATAAATGCAGTTGCTGAATCTCACAGCCCAGCGTGGCAAGATTTGTGACACTGATACCAAAAGAGGGGTCTAATAAATGCAACAAGTCATCAGTAGGCAGCATGTGACCTTTATGTGGTACACTGACATTTGACATAATATGCCACTGCCTCTTATATCACCACCCTTCGGATTGGTCTCAGTACTGACCTGTACAGACACTGAACTGACACTGAACAGACCCTGGCTCGATATTAGAGCTATTAGACTTTAGTTATTTGAGTTTAAATGCAATCCGATGTGATGCCAGCACTTATAACTGCAGGAAATGTCATGTTGCCTCCATTGTGACTATGACCTGTTGTTTACTCACCTAACTGGAAAAATTCATTAGGAATGCACCAATCTGACTTTTACAGTCCTGACAAGGTTACATGGACTTTGGGTATGGGATGATACTGAGTACCAATCTGATACCAGTGTTCAGCTAATAAGCTGTATACTTCACTGTGTGGAAGACACTGAGATCATTATATATAAGGCAACATTAGGTTTGACTTAAACATTGCTTTCCTAACTTTGTGAAACAAAATGTAACAAATAAATGAATGTACAGACACTCCTCTACTTACGAACTTTCAACTTACGAACTTTCAGACATACGAACGAAGAGGACTGTAAGCCCAAATTGTGTTCATTGGGCTCCCGTAATCCTGTCCGCAACATCAAATTTTTTTTTTCTGCCCGCCGATTCTGGGTAGTACGACTTCTGGCCGCTACTCCCGCCGTGCAGCAGCGTAGCGTGTGTACTCCCAGCATCCTAGTTCTTTGTACTTGCATATACCCTTGAAATGATGCTGAATAACGACTTACGAACATTTCAAGTTACGAACGGCCATTCAGAACATATCTTATTCGTAAGTAGAGGAGTGTCTGTATACATTTACTGAATATTAAATAATAATTCAGTAAACATATATATAAAATTTACCTTACCTGAAACCTGAGTTTACAACTTCATGATTTATATCAGAATTTTCAGTTTTCAGCATGAATGATTTCTACAGAGGAACCGGCTGTGAATAAATAATTTATCTAAATAAAAATAACTGCCATTCTTTCCCCACAAAGGCTATCAAAATGCCCTTACCTTTCGTAAAACATTGTGTGTTAAATTATAATCAAATTAAATGTCATTGTTTTCATTCACTAATCAGGCACATAGCTTATGTAAGCAGAGGGCGGTTGTCTGCTAGCAGACTACTGTTTTCCGGAAAAGAGAAAAAAATGATATGATGCATCTAATTTTTTTCTTTTTTCTGGGGGGGGGGGGGGGGTACACCACAAGTACCAGGCACATCTGAGTCACCCAAAATCCGCACTGGTTCTTGTCACACTGAATACATGCAAACCATGCAGGTATCTCGTTGCTTTGCCACATTTCAGTATATGTGGCAGAAAATATTAGTCATTGTGTTTCGATTGGGCAGAAAGAAATCCCAGAGCAACGTCAATATATACCCCTTTATCTAAGAATTACTGCAACGTATAATGCAAAGTGTGGGGTGTATTATCCCGTTTATACTATAGTTATCACACATTGGCTTACATGTTTGTACTTGAATTCATTATTTTCACGTTTACGAATGTAAAACAAATTTATTAGTAGAACTGCTGTTTAGGCTTGGTCAGTATAACGGCGCGGATTCATGGACAGGCTTGCCTAGACCATCTAGTTTTCTTCTAATTATTATTTTTTAGAAGTGATCCTTTATTGGTCATTTATTTGTTTGTGAGTTTGTGATTGGTTAAAACTAAATAGACACTAACTAATTCTAACGTCTCTTCTGTGTATTTCTGGTACATGTATGCATAGTCTGTTTCTGTACATGAAGTCTGTGTTTATCAAAAACAAAGCACGAAGGAAAACATTCTAATGGTAATAACTTGTTTTATATTCTTTTGGAATACATCTCTGTAAAGTTATCCATGATCTATGCTATCTATGTAAATGAGTCTTTAATGCACATTGTGGATGCAGTTGGTCTTTATGGTTGCCGCATATGACTGACGTGAATGTGCAAGCTTGCCAGTTTGTTGCTCTTCTGATGTGATTGTTCTCCTTTGACACTGTGTCACATTCTCTTTGATTTGTAGAAATTAGTTTATAGTTACTATTACTTCATAATTTTATAGCTAATTCTTGCATCGTTTTGAGGAGTAGGGGCAGAAGTGAGGCCTAAGGAAAGTGTAGCCTAGGGGCCTCTGAACACGTTATTCTACCACTGACGGTTATACAACATACCATGGGATTTCCGTTCCGCTAAACTGTATCTTGGGCTTTTTCAAAATACTGAAATTGGGTTGTTCTTTAAAATACAGAGGTGCCTGTGGTTCATGAACACAATCTGTTCCAGGAAAGTGGTCGTGAACCAATTTGTACACGAACCAAGGCAATTTCCCACATAAGAAAGCATTGAAATTCGATTAATTCATTCACAAGCCTATCAAATAATAATTTTTTTTAATTAATTTTCTGGTTTTTATAGAAAAAACTTAATAGTTTTCCAGAAGAAAAACACAATATAGTGTGGCAATGGGCGGACCGAGGCATCGCGGGAGCAGAGAGAGACATGGAGACTTGCTTGCCGAGGAAATCACACTCTTTATTAACAGTCCTTAACCCTTGTATTGTTGCTGTTAATGTTAATGGTTGCATTTCCCTATTGTCACACGTGTGTTTGCCTGTGTCTTGTGTGTAACCGGTCCAATCCTCGCGTGTATTTAGCATGTGTAAATCTTCCACTGTGTGCATCTTGCAGTTCGGCGTCTGACAACCTTGTGTTTCCCGTCAGTGTATTTGGGTTTGTTGGGTGCCTTTTGTGGTCCTTCTATGTACAATTGCACGTGGGGCATGCTGGGACATGCGCCCGCTGCTGCTACACTAGCCGGCGCTACATTTTTCTCACAAAATTTTTGGTCATGAACCAAATTGTTTGTAGACCACAGCGTTCATGAACCGCAGGCACCAATCTACCATTGAAATAACTTATACTGGGGTGTAATGTCTGCACACTATGAAAAACTAGATATCGCCCAAGCTTGCTACTATTACATACTGTATTCAGTTATACACGACACCAAGCCACCATAAGTTAGTTGTGTTATAATTTGCAGTGTTACCACCACCCTTCGAAACATTGGCTTTGTAGATATTGCAAGTAGCCCAGAACTTGTTGGCTTAGCAACTTCAAGCATGAAATACCTCCAAGCTACTGACTTTCTTGTTCCCTCTGTGCTGTGCTAGCGTTCCTTCTAACAGATCACCATACTTGTGATCTTGGAAACACCGGAATTGCTAACTTACTTTCCAAGAATGAATTTGAGGGTGGAATGAATCATGGGATTAGTCTTGTTCGGTGAGGATGCAACCTTCGTATTTGGGGCAGGGAAAGACCAACATCCAAGGATTTTACCGTCCTCTGTACTTATGTTCTTAGTATTGGAACTGGTCTTCAGCAATGGAAGATGACGTAAAACATGTACACGAGAACAGAAGCATGGTCAAGTTCACATATTGAGGTTCACCCAATGTATGGGTATACTGGAGCACTGCTGATCCATGAGGTAGTACAGTATGTGCACGTGGGCGCAAACATACAGTAACATGGAACTGACTTGAATAGATTGGTTCATTGATCAGCCTCATTGTCACCAGCATCCAATCCAGCAATATTAGTGTGGGATCAATATCCGATAGGTGTATCCCTAAAAGTCCTCACTATTTAGCATCCATCTCAAAACAACAAACATCTGGATGTTAAATGCGGTAACTACAGTGCATCAACCACCAGACTCATTCTACGATGCTGTTTTACCAATCCATAAGCCCCTCGGATCACTAATATTGGCAAACGCTACCAGGCCTCCCATGCCCACACAATAAGACTACATTTATTCTCATGCATTGTCACAGAAAAATTCCCTGGAGAGATATGCTTGGAATCCAAAGAACAAAAGCAACATTTTGGTGTTCCCTTCACTGTAATACAAACATTTTGAACAGACGTACGTGAAGTAAGTTTCCAGGAATACGCTTATACAGTAGGTTCTCTGTTTTAAGTTTAAAGTATGCAGTTTTTATATAATGCCATATATCCTCAAATATGTTCTTCTTTATATTACACGTAGCAGGTCAGAACAACATAAATGGCAGTTATGCTACTTTTAATAATTTTGGAGGATTGTTTTGGCATGTTTTAGGCATGTGTACAGGACACCCACTTGTGTGTAAACTGAGCACTGTCTGTATAAAATGTATGCAATTAAACACTACTGTTAAGGAATCTGAGGTCCAATAAACAGTGTGATCAGGCCCCATAGACATGCAACACAGATCCCTAGGTTTGCTGAGCTTTATGCAAGTAACAGTCTACATACGCGAGGAACACACTCCATGTCTCCAGCTGGGGGTCATAGTACGCCCCCTGCAGGGGGCTGAGGGACCTGCGGCGGGCAGGCAACTTCCAGCACGCTGAGCAGTTCCGGTAGAGCGAGGGACGCCTGCCCACCCGAGAGCTCCTCCTGCTGGCCAGAGCCGCAGCCTTGCCGGACCAGGTGCCCCCAGACTGGGAGAAGGTGGACAGGCGGCGTTGACTGGAACAATAGTAGCGACCGTACAGCCCATCGTAGCTCTTCTGATAACAGATGGCATCAGCTGGCAGGAGGTGTGATGAATTCCGACGCAGGCAGCGGGGGGCACGGATCAGCGGCCGCGGCTGCAGGCTTTCCACTGCCACTGCCTGGGACACCTCCTTCTCCCAACACCGGGTGGCGCCCTCAAGCTCAGAGTGCTCACTCGTGCTCTCCCCAGACAGGCTGTCGTAGCTGCCGCAGCTGTCATTGTCCACTTCTGAGTCAGATGGAGGGGGGCTACATTTAAGGGTCTCGTGGTCCTCCTGTGGCCGCTGAGCCCTGCCCACTGTGGCGTCTTCCTCTTCAGTCATCTGGATGAGGCTGGCCAGCAGCATGGAAGGTCCGAGGAGGTGGGCATCGATGGTGCGTGGCCTGGCATCCTGCCTGCGCCGCACAGCAAAGCGAGGGTTCAGCCTGGGTGTGGTTGTGCTTGAGCGCCTTCGTGCATAGCGAGTCTTGGCCAAGTGGCGGCCCCTGGGGTTATGGGTATCAGAGATGGCAGCCATGGCCTGGTTCTGCAGGCTCGAGCGACGGCGCTGCATCAGCCCGGCAGATGGGAGCCCCGCACTGGAACGGCGGCGCACCTTGCTGGTGGGCACTGCCACACTGGCCCGGCGAGGCCTGCAGCAGTCTGGCCCACCCTCCTCCTTCCTCTTAAAGTGCCGGCGGAAAAAGGTATCCATGGCAATGAGGTAAAGCAGGTGAAGGAGCCAAGCTTTAGCACATGCTCTGAGGAAGCTGTTGGTGTGAGAAGGAGTCAGTCAGCACTGGATTTTGGCCATAATTTTGGGTAATGCAGTACTGCTCCTTCAACTGCTGGATAGTCGATCATTCTACCAGTCAAAACGTAGCACAAATAAATGAACCTCTAGAAACACTCTGCAAGTTCCTCAAGCTGCACTCAGCCAATACAAGAGACAACAGAAACCACTGCTCTCCAATTGTGGTGTGTTTCCGGGATAACACAAGACTTTTCTTCCCATTACGACCTGCAGTCATACAGCCTTTACTGACAAAGTGCCAATAGGACAAATGCGGTCAGACGCCCTCAGTAAATTGGTGTGAAAGTGGGTAAGGAATGTCTCTGGAGCATGAGCGCAGTACAGCACTTCCGCGTAGCCTACTCTGAAACATGCTTGGTGCTCACCCTCTCATATGCACTCCCTTCAAAACTAATGCCTTTCATTTGCAGTCACAAGTGGAACATAATCCAATCCAATCCAATCCAGCTTTATTTATAAAGCACTTTAAATAACCTGTACAGGACCAAAGTGCTGTACAGTAACAAATAGATAAAACAAAGAACATAAAAACATAATAACATAAAAACATAATATATAACTAACTAAAACAATCAAAAATAAAAGCGCAACAACAAACATCTCATTAGGTGTTAAAGGCCAGAGTATAGAGATGGGTTTTCAGAAGTGATTTAAAAACAGACAAAGAAGAGGCCTGTCTGATCTCTAACGGGAGATCATTCCACAGTTTGGGAGCTGCCACAGCAAAAGCACGGTCTCCTGTAAGTTTATGCTTAGTCCTGGGTAAAATGAGGAGCCGCTGATCGGCAGACCGGAGAGAGCGGGTGGGCGTATAAGGTAGTATCAGTTCCGAAAGATAGGATGGGGCAAGGCCATGAAGGGCTTTAAAAGTAAACAAAAGAATTTTAAAATGAATCCTAAAAGAAATGGGCAGCCAGTGGAGTGAAGCTAAAATAGGGGAAATGTGCTCAAACTTCCGAGTGCCAGTTAAAAGACGAGCGGCAGCATTTTGCACCCTCTGGAGGTGAGCGATGGATGAAGCACTGACCCCTATATATAGTGCATTACAGTAATCCAGCCGGGTGGTCACAAAGGCATGGATTACGATCTCAAAATGTTGCCGGGTAAGAATTGGCTTTATTTTAGCCAGCTGCCTCAGCTGGAAGAAGCTTGATTTTACGACTGCCTTAATCTGACTGTCAAACTTGAGCTCAGCGTCCACGTTAATCCCCAGGTTTCTAACAACTTGCTTTTTGTACTGATCTAAGGAATCTAAGTACACACTGGGGGCCCCAGTAGGGTTACCAAAAACCATCACCTCAGTCTTCTTATCATTAAATTTAAAAAAATTAAGA